GGTAGACAAATTGGGTGAAGTTGATCTATCAGACAACCTTGCATGGCAGCACAGAGTATCCACCGTTAGAAACTGAAACAATCTTTTGGGAGGCTCAGTTTATTGTCTTCAACTATTTACAGGGGAGAATAAGGTTAGATATCAGGAAAAGGTTCTTTACTGAGAGAGTGGTCAGGCACTGGAACAGCCCCCCAGGGCAGCAGTCGTGACACAGAGCTGCTGGAGGTCAAAAACCAACTGCAAAATGCACTCAGACATAGGGTCTGATTTTTGAGTGGTTCTGCACGAAGCTGGGAGAAAAAAGGGAAGGACGGAAGCATAATTTTGTCTTTAGACCAATTCTACTGTGGGTTTAACTAACTTTTATCTACCAGAACAAATAAGATGCCAAAAATTATAACCAATTGCAATTTGAGCTTTCAAATTATCATACTATTTTGGGGCACAATTTTCAGATATAATATGGCCATCTAATAGCCAGACATTAGGGTCATTTTTCTTGATGCCATATTTGTGTGTTATAGGTTATTTTCTCTAGCAGTTATCTCAGTGTGTTCAAAAAACAAACAAACAAACAAAAAAAAAAAACCAAAAACAGAAACAACAAACCAGACTACACTATTAACCTAATTGTCTTATCCACAAACATTGGTGAACATCATTAAAAACAATGGCTGCATTTTTACTCCTTCTCATCTAACTTATGAGTTAGGTTCTTACATGACACCTATGAAGGTGACAGCATGTAAGTGATTCTGTCATACAACGTAGAAACAATGCCCAGAATATTCTTTTCTGAGCATGCTAAAAATCAAATAACAAAAGGCAGCTCGCAGTTCCAAGACTGCTTTTCAGCTAGGTTTCAGCCCCTAAACATTCTTTCTCTCAACCTTTTTTTCTGTAGTTTTTTCATCACGTATTTTCTGCCTTTCAGCCATTCTGCCTAACGTTTTCTTATGCTCCGTTCAGAAAGGAGCTCTGATTTAAGATGGTGCGCTCCTCGGCAGCTAGAATGAATGTCCAGAATTCCTGACACCTCTTGCTCTTTAAGAGACTGTCCCCTCCTCTTGTACCTTCTCCTCTGGGTTTGGTAGTCTAAATGATGGTATCTCTTATTTTAACTCAATATTTTACAATCTGATTAGCTGAAATTGAAGCATGCTCGTTACACCCAACTTGAATGCAAACCACAACAAAAACAGAATGTTTTCTTCCTTACAAATTTCACCTGCAATTAGATAAATAGCAAAGGAGCTTTTGAAAATACTCATCTTGTTGAAAATTCTGGCTTGCAGGCCATTACGTGAAAAGTCTTGCAACAGTTTTGCAAAAGTTTGTTCATCACAATCTGCATTTAAGTTCAAGATGAACTTTTCTACCTTGATGTATTTGCATTTTGTTGTAAATTCTTCCATTTCTGTAATACATCACTGCAGAGCAGTGTAGTTGCATATTGTACATCCCAGCTATGGATCATGGGCTAGTCTATTACTGAGTTTAAATGCAGAGGAATATTCACAGGATTTCCCTCCTTCCCCCTCAGCAACAGCAAGTACTGGGGTTTTAGCATCACATGACATTGACCAAAACTTAATACTTACTTTGACTTAGCAAACATGAAAAGATAGAAACTATACAATACCACATATCTATTTTATAATGGAATGTAATCCATGTTCTAACAACAATATATGATTTTGCCTATTCTGTCTTTCCATTACCACTGAAAGGAAAATGGTTACAGATTGCAAAAGAATCTCTGAGACCGCATACCTTGAGTAGAAGAAAATAGTGAGGTTAGTTAAGTGTGGAAAGGATCTTCAAAATGTACACCAAAAGACAATCTGTGATATATGTTTAAAAAACAAGAGAGAGAAAGAGAGACAAAGAGAAAGAAAAGAGAAAGAAAAGAGAAAGAAAAGAGAATATATGTCCATATGGACCTGTGTGGAGAAGACGAATTTGAACTGGACAAACACATATGAATTAAATGCAAACATACTGATATAAAATTTAAAAGAAACAAAATTTTTTTATCTTACATGCTGTAATAGCTTTTCAGAGTGATTAAAGTGTTAGAGGCTCGATCACATTCCTGCAGGGCAGAATACATTAAGAGTTTAACAGAAAAAGGAAGTAGAATAGATGTAAATGAAATAGGGAAAAGCCTTAAAAAAATATCACAATGATCTTATTATACACAAGATGGGCAGATGACAATAATTCTGTATACTCAGTTTTACAGAAACAGTTCACATTAACTTGAACTGTTATTAATTGATCCAATATAAATTTTAAATAATTTTACTTAGACATTCAAATAAAATAATTCTCTTTCCCCCCAAGACTGCCTTCTTTTCAGAATTCCAATTTTATTTATTTATTTATTTTTTAATTCCACTGTAGAAGAATTTTGTGAGCAGGTAAACGTGAATGGTGTTTTACAAACCAGGTTACAGGTTAATTTTTTCTTTAAAGGTATTACATATACTTTTAATCTTCACAGTATTGTGTATTTAGAGGAAAATCACAGGAAATGGATGTTCTCAAACATTTCCATTTTTGTTGTAACCAATAAACATAAAATCCATGATGTCAGTTAGGTAGATGAAAGTCAATACATATTCTCAACTGATTTTCACTTACGAAAGTAATACAAATCAGTAGAGGTTAAAAGGATAATTATGGTTAACAACCATACTGAGAAAATGTGGCAACAAATGCACTCTAAGATTTAAAATACCGTAATCCCAGTAGAGTCCTAACTTGTGACTTTCTGTCCAGAGAACAGTTGAGTAGATTAGTAAAGCTGCTTTTAGTTTCCTTTATATAACATGAAGCCCTGTCTGTTTCAAGTCATCCAACAGAGCTCTTGTATAAAATTGAAAATAGAAGGGACAAATCAAAAGGTATAGAAAAAATTCTCTATTTTACTGCTGCATTCATAGAAAAAAAAGGTGCCAGAGGAGGTATTTAGAGAAAGACATAGCTTGGAAGAGTTTTGCATTTGAATTTGACAATGTTTGAGAAATACAGTGCGTAACATCAGCTGCTGCTTTTCCACAGAAGGTGCTTAATGACTTGTCTCTATGTTATAGATGAAATCCTTACAAGTAAAACCCACAGGAATTAGAAGTTGCTGTAATTTGTAGAACTTAGACAGCTGCCTTTTAGGCCATAACCATTTCAGTCTGGAAGAGTTAGAGATTGTTATTACCAAACCATTCCAAAGCTCCAAACCAGGTCAGTTGCGCAGTTACACATCACTGTGTACCTTCGATTACTGGATGAAGAAAGAGAGACTTTATGGCCAGTAGTGACACAACTGGCTTCCCTCTGACTTGTACTCACTCCAGGCCTCACAGAGCCCTTGGAGGCCATTGGCTTAGCACTGCCAGTGTTGGCACCCACGGTGCATGACTGAGGAGGCTGCAAAATACTGGAGGTCACACACTTTGGCACATATGTAGTAGCTGTAGCCCTGGGTAACAAAGATTACAAGCAAGTTGTAAAGGAGATATTTGTTATCAGGTCACAGATTCCCGAGGTAATAGGTTTTTGAGGAAGAGAGAGAATTCCAGTTACAGAAGATGCTGGTGTTTTTAAAATAAAAATAATTGTTTAAGTTTTATGGTTTTCAGAGGTATTACCATTTCATATCCACATCAAATAAAGCAGCATTCTAGAATACGAACATCTATCCCCTTAAAACAGCAGTTATTGTTTCTGTGCAGTGGGCAAAGCCTTTGGCAGGAACAGGGGCAGGAGTGTAACAAGGTAGCTGAAAAGTCAAGTCTGGTTTAGTAATTAAGGCCTCATTTTTCTGTCTCTTCTTTTTCCTGTAAGAAGATTTATATTTGTAAATATCCAGCATGTTCTTCAAGTATTCCTAAATTCTCACTGTAGGAGATCATCATGGTATTGCATTTGAAATCACAACAAATTTTGATGGCTCATTACTGCATAAGCCAGGGAAAGGATGCAAGAATTTTACAAGTACCTTGTGTTAAATCTGGAAACCATATTGCTAGGAATATCATAATAAGACACATGGCAAAGCTGCAACAATAACAGATGGAGGTGGATAAAAGCAATGGTTTGACAAACCATGCAAGATTAAGGCAATGCAGTGTGACACTAACAGCAGTCATAAATCAGATATAGTTCCTAGTAAAATCCAAAAGAAGAGATTTCAGTGGAGCAGCTGCATAGTTCTGTAGATGGTTTTACACAAATCAAACAACTACTCAAACACTAGATGTGTTATTGAATTTTTTATTTACCTTATATACACTTGCTATGCAGGAATCAAGGTTTAAATTTTTTTTTTTTTCCTTTTTGACATAATTCTTATTTTCCTTGCGTGTCCAAGTGCCAGTTACCATTGCTTATATCATTAGTCAGGATGATGCTTGCACTTGGATTTCAATTCTATGCAACTTTTGTTGAACTGTGAGAAGTCTTCAGAACAAATATAAAAAGTATTTGTTCATGGAGGGGTGAATAAAATTGGAAAGAAATGAGGTAAAATTTGTTTCAAGGCATGAACTAACAAGCAACATTTCTTTGCTCCATTAAACAAAAGATTTTAGATTCATTTAAGAAGTACCTGTGCTTCAGCTCTTGTTTGTACCTTCATAGGTACATTTCTACACATAACTACAAAGCGTGCTGAGATTCTTTGGGAAAAAATCACTTTTGAAATGAAAGAAATTACAAAACCTCATATCCCATCAAGGATCACACAACATACACAAGAATCGATACAGAAATGTTTATACAAAAGTTCCAAGCAATTAAATCCCCTTCACTACTATGTCTGCTACCATCTCACAGACCTTTCTGAATTCTACATCAGAAAGAAATGCCTAGCAAATCTGCTTAGTTGAAACCTATTTATTGAGAAGGCAACATTTATTGCCTGTTTTTGAGGTAAGAGTAATAGGGGGAAGGAGGCCAACTGAAAAGGGGTAAAGGAGAAAACACAGAGCAACAATTACCTGTTTTGTGATGCTGCTGCAGCATTTTCTTTGTCTCTGTGAAAGGAGGGAATACCATATGAATAAAGGAAATGCAATTGTTATTTGTGGCAAAAAAAAAAGAAAAAAAAAAAAAGAAAAAGAAGACAATCAAAATACAACCAAAAAACACACAGGGCAAAGGAACATAGGTTTAGGAAAAATGTTTGGTTGCCAAAAGCATCATAGAGTGGTTGCTCATAAACCATAGCTACAAGAAACATCTTCAGCTCTTAAATGAAACTCACCAAATTTTCAGGTTTCCCCATGAGCAATGTCTCTCATTCAATATTAAAGAAAAACAAAGCAAAATTACCAGTTTTGCAAGTCTAATTTCTCATGCAAATCTGGCACGGTCTGTATGTATACAATTTCAAGAATAATTTTTACTTAGTTACTTCCTTTTTAAAAGAAAATTCCAGTGGAATTCCAATGAAATATAGTCTTATGCCAAATCTCAGTGGTAAAAATAATCAGATTGGGGCAGTCCTTGAAGATCTAATACTTTAAAAATTATTAAAAAATAAATGGTTAACAAAAAACATATGGATTGCATATGCCTGGCATCACTTAAAAATTCTGTCCTACCAAATAATTACTAGTTTTCTGAGTTATAAATTTTATTTAAACAAGAAGTTTCATCTCTTCAGAGAAGTAAGGAACAATTCAGCCTCAATTTTCAGTGATAGTCTGTAAATCCTATCAACACACTCATAGAAATAACTGATTTATTTGAGTGCAAGCAACTCTATATTTGTGGAAGAATTGTAAAGACTGTAACCCTTAATCTTTAGACTCCTATGTTTGAGATCTAGGTGAGTTAAATATCTGAGATAAGTCTCAAGATTTAGCAATATGGTGATGATTATTACTTTTTAGGACAACACTCTCAGACATATGGCTTGAATTTTGGGTGGTCCTCTATGGAGCCAGGAGTTGGATTTGATGGTCCTTGCGGGCTCTTTCCAACTCTGGATAATCTATTATTAAAGACTATACTGTCAATATAATCAGCCTCTGACAAGAAAATCGGCTGGAATCTAAGCGTGTTTAATGTTAAAATGTGCCAAATTAGAATATTTCCCACAACTGAGATATAAAATTACAAAATACACAGCAAATGTCCCCATTCACCCAAGAGAATCTCCTTCCTGAAAAGTCCTTCCAAATAAGAAACACAGATATTAATTTATCTTGATTTGGTGTGCTCTGATCGTTGTCTTACATTATATTTTGAAAACTACTCAATATTTTTCATTAGAAGTATTTTGTATATTTCTGTGTTTCTGTGTGTACACATGCATACACACATGTGCACCCTTCTCGTGGTTTAACCCAAATAAATTTATAAATGCTTGTCTATCAGCAAAGACTTCAGCACAGATATTCTCTAACCTCCCAATTTTTAAAATGCCCAACTAAAATGTAACCCTCAAAATAAATGAATTGAAGCCAGACTTTCAAACACAACAGGTTTGAAACGAGACTCAGATGTGTCTGTCTGACTAAGAATGTCGTTACTGTCTGAATGGAAGAACCTGACTTGAAAGAAAATACCCCAGTAAGATGAATTGCTCACCACTCTAAAGCAATGAGAAACCAAACACTGCCTTATGGTAACAAAGCTGAGATTTCACTGGAACATCCTGTATAGTAAAACCAGGCTGAAACAAAGTGGGGGAGGACGGATTAGAAATGGGTAGAGAGTGGCTAGGGTGGGAAAGCGTTAGTATACTGAGAGTCATCATCATGCAAGTCTGATAATAAATAATTACAGTTGCAGCCTGAAGATAAAATAAAGCATTGTCTAATGTCAGTGTTACGAAATACTCATGAAAAATTATAAAGCCAAAAGGCAGGCAGCTGGGGGTTGAGCAGAAGCAGTATTAGGCCTCTGGTAAAACTGTTAATCTGATCTATTAATCTGTTTTTCTGCTTTGCTAGCTATGGCTACGCTGAGAAATGCAGAACATCACTTGAGCTTGAGATAAGGATTTTACAAAAGCTTTCTCACTGAGTTTACAAGTCTAACAATGCTGAGTAACGTGGCAAGGGGAGTTGAGAAGGTTACGGAGATAGATAAGTGTAGTAAACATACTTCCACAGAGTAAAGCAAAGAAAAAGGCAAAGTAAAGGGAAAGATGAGCTCAAAGGCACACAGTACTTTCTCAGTGTTGCTTTCAGGAACTATTTCTCTTCTCAGTCAACAGGAATAATTCCTGCTTGGTTAATAGTGAGAAAGGCACAAGATCAGCTGTGCCTTACTGGTGATAATTGCATTTTGAAGATCAAAATATTGAATACCCCGCCGATGTTACAGTCAAAATGTTTTTTGCAAACTCAATACAGAATTAAATTTACTTTTGAATCAACTACATCACTGGGACAAGCTTGGTAAAGTTCATACTCTCTCAACACATACAAAATCAGCTCAGAATATTATGGGCAGTTTGTATCCAACATTAGTGGATATTAGTTTTGAGCTAACTGGGTGAGATTTAGTATTAATGATTTCTCTGCACTCCCTTTTGTCCCAGCAAAATAGCTTTTGATAGAGGGACCTCAGTCAATGACTATTTGACAAAACACTGCAATTCCCACAAGGTTTTGTTGAACACTGGACATATCTCTCAAACAAGACTTAAGTATGGAACATACTGTCTGTCCCAATTATATAGTTTGTTATACAGCAGAAAATATTAAATGTTACCTTCTCATAAAAAATGTGCTATGTGATATGGTCATAAAGACTGAGTTAATTGAATGATTAAGATAGAGTCATATTCTCTCTCACACTAGCAAGAGTTTGAGAAACAAAATGTAAAATTCATTTGCAAGCCAAACTTGTGTGTTCTACTGGACCCTAAAAGATCAAAGACCCTAAAAGAGCTTCCGCTGAATGAGAAATTATGTGCTAAGCAGAAGAAACTTAGTCATTTGATTTCCAAATATAAAATAAAATGAGAAAAATTCCCAATCATTTATATATAACAAGTATTGAGATACTAAGCTTGTGCACTTTCTACCTACCTTTCCTTAAAGAATCTAGACTTGCTCTTGAACAGCTCCTCTCTGTGCCATCAAAATGTTTTAGACAGAGAATCAATCTATAATGAAGATCTGATGTTATGAGGAAACGTTGGCATCCTAAGAGACCACAAGGTCCTTCAACTCCTTTCTGTGTTTCAATACTGAAGCAGTACTGAGAATACAACACATATATTCTCAGCATTCTCCTGCAGAATTTTTTTTTTTTCTACATTTTACACACAAGGAACTAACTCTTAATAGAATTACTAATGACCAAATAGAAGGTCCATGGCAGGGCAGAGAATTGAAATGAATCAGCATTTGAATCCCTAACTGAGCACTGTAAACATCAACTCATTCTCTTTAGCAAGAGATTATGGAGTGATTTGTTATAAATGTTAGTATGCAGACTATTGGTATTTTCTTGTATAGATCACCCAGTAGCTTTCTATCAAAGCAGACACCTGAAAAATATATTGGCCTCTTTTTAAAAGAGGAAGTATTTATTAAGAATTACAGATTATTAGGGTCTCTCTCTCTTAAATTAAAAAATTCTTTTTCTAGCATTTTATTGTGAATTTGCAGGACCTTTCCTAACTAGACTAATAGATTTTATCCTACTACGTGCTTACATTTACATAAACACATTCTCTTAGAAATAAAATTTCCTTTCGAGAAGTTGAAGTCACAAAATATTTTTTCAGAAATTTCTTTTAGGGTGCCTGGGAATAAAATTAAATGAAGGCTATTTAATAATTGCCTTCCAAACATTTTTTTCTTGACAGCAAGAAATCCTGATGCTGTTGGACACTCTTTACTGAGCCACGGTAACTGCTGATCCAGTTCTGATTCGGTAAGGCAATTTTTACCTTTGTGTTTGGAGCTGAGAATTTTTCCATTAACACGTGAATATAAAACCATTGAGATGGCTTATCTTTTTTTTTTAATCCCCAGTGCTGTGTTTTTGTAACTGCAACAAACTATTACCTACACAGAGACACCACAGGACACACACAGAAAAATCATAGGCAGTTAACTGGAAAGGATAGAAGATAACTATCATGCTGGTTTAGTTCAAACTTTAGCTTGGGATAGAAGAATAGCTAGTCTCTCTTTTTCAGCCACCTTAGTTAAGAATGTGAGCAGCCCACGCCAAAACAACTGCAGTTTAACCTGCCTATATGTCTGCTTTTCAGAACAGCAACATCCATTTCTCCCAGAAAGTGCTTTGGTTTGCACACACAGTGCCATAGAATAGGAAAAGCACTGTCAGATATTCATTAAAAAAAACATACAGGTACTTATTCTCAACAGGTACTACAGAACTCAGTCAAAGCAGCTCACTAAATCAAAGCAAATCCCTCCTATGGATTTTAGTGGCATCTAGTAATATGTTATCGCATTAAGCATTCAAATAATTATTGAAAATTATTTCAATTGAAATTGAAATAAAGCAGCAACTGTGCTGTGTGTATTGAGGTGATTTGTCCAAGATTTATATAGAGACATTTGACATGCAAGTATGCTTTCCAATTTATCTTATTGGTAAATGCACCATTTTAGTAAGAACAAAGACTGTAAAATCCTGAGTATATGGAACATCTTGAGCTTGGATGTATTCCAGCTCAAAACAAACAAACAAAAAACTGCAGATAACTTTCCCTATCTTGGCCTTAATTCTGCAATCAGATCTATCTGAACATTTCCCTCTACTGTTTAAGAACTCTACTGGTAAAGCACAAATATCTGCCAGCAGGAACCCGACATAGGAACCTTTCAGATTGTATTTAGGACCACTGTAGACAAGGACAGTGCACAAGTTCAGATACCAAAGGATACCTAAGCTGGGAAATGATTCCCCTTTCACTGAAGCATGTTTTCATTATTGAAACTTCACATTGCTTCAGAGAAGCTGAGAGAACTCATAGACCTCCTTACTGTCAGCTGGAAGGTTTTCAAGCCAATTTTTTATTTGTGCACTCAGATAC